ATGAAATCGTCGGATAAGGTAAGAAATCAACATTTGAAACCGACAATGGTGTCAATTTACTAGGTGCCGTGTTTCACAACTTGTTTATTTATATACGTATAGCGGATGATTTTTTTTTTTGAAAATTAGTATTTATTGATTTTCAGCCCCCAAGTGACTGTGGTTTCAACCACACGGCCATTTTGCAACAAAGTGCGAGACCCTCGGCGTGACCCGACTAACTATATGATCGTTCTGTTCAACTGTAAAGCTAGGATTTATTACCGTTATTATCATTATATTGTCACGTGATTTGTTTTACCTTTTGTGTAATGTCTTAAGTATCTTTATAGTAATTTGTATATACCAATTCGTATATACCGCGGAAACGACCCCGATTGAAGGTCATGTATTTTGTGACGTCACCAATTCGTGTGTAGGTACGGCTTCTAGAGCCGTGCCCAGCGAAATTACATATGAGTGACGGAATGGCGTTACGCACTGTCAACCCATGTCACGTTTACCATTATTCATTACAGGTCAAAGTTTATCTTGGAAAATAAATTGATCGGATGCAATCAATCCGCCAATCAAAGACACTGAGAGAAGAATACAAGGTAAAAAAAAATATTAGTGATAATACCCGTACACCTTACTTGTTACGTATATCAGTCTGTGATAAATTGACTTCCGGGTTACCGCCGTTTGGTGGGTTGACAGACAACCAATACAACCACATCGTGCTGACTAGGAACACAACGCCCACGACCCACACTGGTGCCATTTTCAACTCTGTGAATGTTTCGCTATGAAATCGCTTGCATTACGCGTGAAAAATTACAAAATGTCATCGTCGTTTACACATTTACATGTTTCAACTGTGCACGTCAAAACAGTTTGAATGACGCCATGTTGAATCATGCGATTGACACCGAAGTTAGTTTCTGATACTATTAGACGCATTTGAGAGAGATTCGTTTTTGAATCATGTATTCGCGACCTAGACCCAAGGGTATCGACCTGTCCCGAACGAATAGTTTTCTGAATAATTTAGCATGGCGTATTTCTCATGCTTATGCTCAGACTAATTCAACATCGCGCATTCAAATCCCTCAGGGGGTGCCGAGGGGGTGTAATGTAGACAGCCCAACCCAACACAACATAACATAACTTTACATTTTATTTTGTTTCTCTAGTAAAGTGAATTAAGTATTATTCATTTCCATCGGAGGAATAAACAGTTTTGTTTTGCAATAACACTTATCTGGTAATTTTCGCCCACTTGTAGATTCGAGGATGACGCCCTCTATTCACTTTCCGAGTTCTGTGTAAAGAAGAGTGTTTATTCACAGTCCCTCTATCATAGAGGGACTGTGGTTTAATATATTTCCGTCGTGAGCGGGCACACGCGTCTAGCGCAAACCGCATACTTTCAAACAGAACTAATAGATGTGACTATATGGGCTGGGAAGGATATTGAGTATAGACAAAAATAGGCATTTCATCGCAAGGAGAGCCCGTATGCGAGAGAGGTGTTCTTTATTCGACTTAAAATCTGTCACCCAACTACATTGTATCTATACTATTTTAGGACAATCTCATATTTGCAAGTACATTCAACATGTTCTGACATCAGCCCTATACGAATTTAGCTGTAGCGGAAAATGACGTATTCCCAAATATAATACAGCATAAAAACAAACAAACAATTAATTGCGCTATGCGTGAATTCATCGTCTGCATTCTGAATTGAGACAGGCAATGGCAAGTTCGTTTCTTTGTTATTTTCCCAAAGTCAATATATAAGCGACATGGTCATGTTTTGACATATAATATCCCTAGTACTTTACTTAATCGCTGTTTTCCCACAAGTAAGGTTGGATATGTTTTGTTGATCTTGGTAGATTCTAGAAGGTGCTTGAAAAGTTAAGCGACTTCTTCAAGTTGACAATGTAAACCTAATTGAGCCAAACGGGGATAAAATTCAGAGTAACTAAATGCTTACTAATATGTTCAATCATATATGTAGTTGACTCTGCGTTGTGTAAAAGCATCGTGCAAAGTCGAGAAAACTGCTCGTAAACGATTAAACTAGGATTCAGTCTGGGAAAGTTGCCTTAAAATATTGAAAGCAGCGTCTAAAGTCTGAAAAAGTTGATACAACTATTAGAAGTAGAGTACAGTGAAGGATACCCATAACTATTAAAAAGGGTGTGCAATGTAAGAAACGTTGTCTTAATCTTTTCAAATTATTAAAGAAGTGTGAAAGACGACAAACGCTACCAGCAATAAATAATAAGCCCATATACCCCTATCATATTTTCCACCTTGATGTATACTTTGAACATAGTTGTTTGTCTTCATATCATGATCCAAATAATTAATACTGCTATGTTTAGTAGTTTAATTCTTATCACAGGGTATTTATTTGTACCACAAATGACATTTCCTAAATCATTCATTGTCATTATTAACTATTCATTGCCTAAGATGTTGTTACTCTGTACGTAAATTCATAAAAATTAAGTCAGGCAATGGATTATTATTATTATTTTTATTATAACTGAATGATATTATGGATTTGTTCTAATCATATAATACGTTGTTTTTATTACTTTACCAAGTGGTATTCTGTACGTATCTAAAAAAAGCCTTGTATTGTATTTTGCTTTTTGATTTACGGGTAAAAAAAATCACATAAATTATAATACAAAAACGCATAAGGAGGTACCAATATCCCTACCATCAAATAAGATATGCTGGAGTGTGTAGACGTCATCACAGATAGGACACTTATCAAAACAGTTCAGACAGGGCTTTAAACAGAAATTTCTCCGTTGGAAAGGCACAACGGGAAATACGCACTGTAGATTCCTATCGTTTTTAATAACTGGTGCTTTATAACAATTCTTGAAATTGGGTTTATATATATATATATATATATATATATAT